CAGGTGGTTGAGTATCAGATTGTTCCATCTTGTTTCCCTTTGGGGTTGATATAGGTGATCTGGAAGTCTGGTTTTGAGGCTTGTTTATGTGTCTTCTCATTTCCACAGCAGGAGGTGGGGGTGTTTCTGGCCCCTGCATGGCTCACCTTCTCTGCCCTAGGAGTGTGGAATGGTGGCAAGGGAGCCTTCTCCCAGGTTCTGAGTCTGGCTTACCTTCTCTGCCCTAGGAGCATGGAATGGCAGTGGGGGAGCCTCCTCCCAGACACTGGGAATGGCAGTGGGGGAGACTCCTCCCAGACGCTGGGACTGGCTCACCTTCTGGAAGCAGAGAGTCTTAACCATGTCCAAATGGGACAGTACTGTGCTCCAGCTACCACCCTAACTGGCTTTTACCAGCAGATAAATACAGATAACCACCTCTGGGACAAACAGCTGTCAGGTCCTACTTGTGGCCACCCAAAACAGGCCAGGTTTCCAGCTCGTATTTATTATTGCAGAAGTCTCTCTCTCTCTCTCTCTCTCTCTCTCTCTCATATACTTTCTGTGTGTGTATAAAGTTCCAGTCTGGAGACAGAGGGCATCATACTGGCATATTCCAGTATCACTATGGAAAAATCAGACACTTGTGAGTATTTCACCACTGGAATTACTAGGGGTTTTTTGTTTGTCTTTGGATTTCTCTGTGCTACTGTTCTTTCATGAATTCATGTTTTGTTTTAAAACTGGAACCAACCTAGGTTCATTTTTCCTTTGCTGAAATGAAGCAAAGCTAATCCACATTTCTTGCAAACATGTCCTTGCTTCTTGCACACAGGATGTTACTAAAGAAAATAGCTCTGCAAGACCAAGAGTTGCTGAGGCTTGAACACAGATGTTTTAGCTTCTCCCACTGTAATTAAATAATACTGGTGCCTGAGACAGGACTGTTCTAGCTGTTGGGCTCCTATACCTCATCTGAATGCCAAGTGCCTTCTGCATTGGCCTGCAGACCAGTGGCCCCCTGACCTGTCAGATCTTACTCAGTAAGTGTGACCTTCTCCCCTGTGTCAGGGGTCCGCAGGTAGGGGCAGTAAATGTGCAGTCTCTCAGGCCATCTGGCCATGGTCTCAATTACCCAGTGCTTCCCTTCAGTCCAGCACCCATGTGCCATCTGTCAACAAAGGGCTCTGTGTGCTCCAGTGAGTCTCTGTTGACAAAAGCAGATGGCATCTGGTTCTAACCTGGGGCTGTCCGCTGTCAGCCTCACTCAGTGCTTAATTAATGAACCTTGGCAGAGAATGACTGCTCTGTTTCATCTTTTCTATTAGGAAACCATCCAGGTACAGTGTCATCGTCCTGGCCATCCTTTGATTAATGAGACATATAATTTTGAAAGGTAAGTGCTCTTCAAGATGCAGAATAGATCCAAGATATACATTAAACATGCAGACTTTGCATGGGAATTTATTAACAAAAGGCACCACTTATCCTACTGATTGTGATTATAAATAACCCATATGTTAATCTCTCAGATAAATCCTCATTCTCACATATCCAGGTGGTTAATAGGGCTTTGTCATGACAACAGCAATTAAACATGGGGCTCAGACCTCCCTCACACCTGGTCTTGGTATTGTCCCAAGCAGCAGCTGGGAGGCCTGTGAGGCTGGAGAGCTAGAAGTGGGGTTTGGGGAGCAACACATCTTCCTTCCACCACCAAAGGATGGTGAGGTGACCCAGTGTGAGGTTCTGCCTGCTGTGCCCTACTGCAGTGCCTGAGGACTCTTCCTGTCTGCCTGTGGCCTCTGTGAGTTCATGGGCTATGCTGGAGATGTGCAGCTCCTCCTCGGAGTTTCTAGCTCAGTGCCATTTGGGACCTGAATGAGGAGAAGGTAGGTGCCAGCAGAGAGCAAGTGAAAACCCAAGGAGCTCACATTACCCAGAGCCCATGAGGTTGGGGCCTTGTCTTAGGCAGGGCTGCCTGGCAGGGCTGAAGTATAAGCCTCCTGAGGATCCAGTGGCTCCCCGGTGCCACCCTGCATCCCAATATCTCTTAAACTTGATAGCAAGGTGCCACCACTTCATTTGCCCTTTACTTCTGTTCATGAGAAAGCACGAGCATTGGTTGTGTTGGACACTTCTGTGTGTGTGTGTGTGTGTGTGTGTGGTGGTGGTGATGCTTCCCCAGGCATCTGTGTGCAGATGCAAATGGCTTCTTCCTCGTCCATTAATGTACCACTTCACTTTGTCTCTCAGAGTCTATGGCCCAGCAGAACCTCAGACAGCAGTGTTCGCAGATGTGTGCCCACTGCTTACATCCCTCTTGGGTGGGTGAGTTAAAATATTTTTAAGGCCAGTTATTACAATTACATTTAAGTAGTGTACACACAAACCTCATTCATGCCACAGAATGAGACTGGACCATCAGAGCCCAGGCCTCATGTGACAGTTGAACAAAGCCATGACCCAGCGTTAGCTCTGTGTCTGTCAGGGGAGAATATCTGTTCCCCCGGAGAAGGAGCAAAGTGCTTTGAGGAGTAGTTGTCATATGGGTGCATGCGCCCTGGCTCCATGCTGCATTTTGCTGCGTGTGGACTACTGACTGCCACAGCTGCTCCTTTTCTTCTCCCTGGGGTTAGTTTTACACTTCAAAGTTTTAAAAAATCTGTTGAAAATGCCAGCATCAGATTGGGAAACTTCCTTTTGGGAATTAACCTTCTATTTTTGGAAAACACAACTACTGATTTTAAAGGCAAGGGGCATAATTTAGAAGTAAATATCTTTAGCAGTAAATACAACTAGGTTTGTATACTTAACACCACAGCCAAGACTTTCTACTTCAGGGTATTTGGAAGAATCTCAGTTTTGTAAAGAAGTCTACATCAAACTTCCTGAACAAGACTTGTGTTTGCCTACCAAAGGCTTTTGCACAGATAATCTCAACAAAATAGAATCTATAATTACCACATTGTTATTTTACAACAGTGTGCTGTGCACCCGGGAGGCCTGTAATCTACAGGCTGAGGTCATGTCCTCCTCACGGCCCACACGTACACAGCCAGTCCTCCTGCCACTGCACTTCCTGCTTCAACTTGGTTTCTGCACGCACCCAAAATGACAAGGGTGTTGCAGAAGGCATTTTTAAAATGAGCAGGTTGCAGAAATGAGAAAGGCATTGTGGCTAGTGTGAACTCTGCCAGGCTTGCCATCCTATAATAACCTGAAGCAGACGACATTATTAAAGTGCTCAGCTCTCTGCGACTCACACTCCCCGTAGGTTTGAAGATCCATAAGAACCACATATAAGCCATCTGTCTCAGCATGCCGCTCAGTGGTAAGGTGCTTGCCTATCACATACAAGGCCCTTAGATTCGTCCCTGGCACTGCAAAAGAATAATAATAATAATAATAATAATGATAATAATGATAATTATTGGCAGACAAGGATTCCCAGGAGGAAATACTCACTTGGTGGAACCTGGAAGAGATGTGAAATGTGTGGAGATTTTGTTAAGAATGCCTTGAGCCTTTTTGATTTTGGAAGAAAATTATGCAGAATGACAGTGACCCTGATCTTTTCTGCCCGATGTGGTTAAAAGATCTCAGGTAGAATGTAACAGTGAACCTCAGAGATGGGCTTCCGGGTTTCCTGCCTTTATATCACTGTTCTGGGTGAGAATCAGACATCAATCAATCGAATACTTTTGTAAAACCATTCTATCAAAAGAATCACATTTGTTTGACCTGAGGTAAAACAGGAAAGTTTGAGTGAAGATTAATTATATCAGAACCTCTGTGCTGGGCATAGTGATGCACACCTGTAATCCCAGCACTCAGGAGACTGAGGCACGAGGATCATCCTGTGGTCCAAGCCAGCCTGGGCTGCATAGTGAATTCAATACTAGCCTGAACTGCATAGGAAGATCCTATCTCTATTAGTGAATCAGAACCTCTGAGGTGAGGGGTGTGTAGATCGTGGACATTCCCCAAGTGATTCTCACCTGGGCTGGGGCAGAGCATCCTGCATGATGCACCTGACAATTCTGGGCTGGGTTGACCTGTGCCTTTAAGGTCAAGAAAATCTTATGGCTGAGAATATAATTTTATATCACTAACTAATTTTAAATGTTCTTTCAACTGTCTCCAGTCTTCTCATTGATATTTTGGGCTAAACAAAATGACTAGAAGAAAATTTATGAATACATTGGTAAATCTTGTATTCTGTAAAATAAACTGTTGTCAAATAATTGCAGATATAGGACCAGTCAACCTTGTCACATGCAGCTTACAGAGAATATGGAAATCCCACTGTTCCTTGGATAGCAAGTATAAAATATATACGGCTATCATCTAACTATAAGTATAGCCAGCAATGCTACCAATTGGTTGTGTATGTAATGAGGAAAATTTTTTGTTACATCAAAGGAAAATAGGAAAATGTGTATATAAAACATTATATATAATAGGCCCAATTTTATGAAGGTCAGCTTACATCAGGTGACTCTAAGATTGCATTGAACATTAATGAGAAGTGGGAATTTAGGAGGGACTCACTAGGTTAGAACCCTGGTAAACTGTGAGCTGGCAAAGGGTGTGAGCAGCTGTCTCCATTGGAGGATGTCAAATGACGTAAGGTAGGATGAGATGCATGTTGTATGTGTGAAGTGAGTATAATTTTATCTAGTATTATATGTAGCAAAATAGTTATGCATTGATGGAGAGTATAAACAATAGATACAGTGGAATGAAAATCTAATTTACATGGATTGGTCACAGGGGAACCTAGAATGAAGTGCATCAAATAACAGTTTTTCCCATTGTCAACTTAGGACTTTAGCCCCTGTCTGTGTTTTGTGACACCGAGTCATTTGAATTTCAGATGCAACATGTGCATCATGGCCTACGGGCAGATGGGGAGTGGGAAGAGCTACACCATGTTGAGGTCAGGTCTACCATCAGATGCCCACAGTGACTTGGGAATCATCCCCAGAGCGGTTGAGGAGCTCTTTAGGTAACTCAGATGGTGATGACAACCAGGTGCTGAACAGGAATAGGAGGGACAACGTGAGTCATGTAGAAAGCCACAACTGGATGAAGGCAGACAGGTCCTCTTATCAATGGCATTTAACAATACTCCTCAGCATTATTGCCATGAAAGCCACAAGTTCCCACCATGAGTGTATGCTGGAAGTCTATTATTAGGATGAAACTTCTTGGAGGAGACCCTGAGTTAATTTCCAGTGCAGAGGTTTTGTTCCAGAGCAGGAGGGAAGAGTAGAAAGGCCTGTTGTCTTTTCCTGTCATCCCACAGAGCAGTCTTATCTGCCCTTCTTGGCCCATCCAGCAAATTAGTCCCACAGAAGGTCTTCTGTTCCATTAACACATCTCCCCAGAGAGACCCACTGTCATTGTCCCAATTTCACTAACAAATTATTCCTAGAAGAAATAAAAAAAGCAGTTGAGGTTGACAAGAGAGCCTGGAATGATACTGCATCTCCTGGCCCATTGCTTTGGCTCAGTCACTAGCCTCAGGCTTTTGGTGGTCATCTTCCTGTTTGCATACTGCACTAAACAAGCCTGGGCTCTCTCTGAGGTTAGACATTGCATATTCTCCACCAAACCATTGCTATCAGCAGGAGACTCAGCTGCAGCCAGTGGCGTCATGCTTCCATCCCTGAGATTCAGTTTCTCTCTGTGCATTTCCTTGCATAGATAGCCCTTTTGTGTCCTAAAACCAGGACCAGAGGATGACCTAAGAACTCCCACCACAGCCTAATATTTTGGCATCTCTTCAAGCCAGTAGTATTTAAATATTTGTGCATGTAAATAGATGTGTTTATCAATTTACATGTTATAGACCTCATCTTAGGGTCTCAGCATCCCAAGACACTGCAATACATGGGTGTGTCACAGAAGGGCTCATCAGAGTCACACTAGAGCTCACAGGTCACTGTTGCCTAGGGAGTGTGTCCTCACTAGGCTTAGTCTGCTTGGCCAGGAGCTCACTGGCTGAAGATGAGAATATGGCAGAACTATGATGGCAGTGGCATTATCTGGGAAGAGGGACATGGGGATGGGAGTTGGGAGAACTCTGTGGAGGTGGCTCCTGGGACTCAGGCTCCCTTTGGCCCTCATGGTAGTTGGATACTGTTCACCTTTTGTTCCCCCACTTGCCCACCCACACATTTGTCCACTATTGTAAAGAACCTGCTTGGGGCAGCCTCTTAGCATCTGTGCTGATCACTCAACAGTGTCTGAACTCAAAGAAGAAAGCACAGATGGTATAGATCATTACATGGGAATAATCCTAAATAGACCTTTCTCAAGAGAACACATACAAATAACCAACAGCATATAAAAAATACTCAACATCACCAAGGAAATGCAAATCAGTACTACAATGAGATCTTACCTAACTCCATCCAGTAATAAAGGCTGTTTGCTAAAAGATTAAAGATAAATGCTGGCAAGGATGTGGAGAAATGAGAACCCTTGCACACTCTTGGTGAGAGTATACATTAGTACAACCATTATGGAAACAGTGTGGAGATTCTTTAGAAAAATTAAAAATAGAACTATCATATGATACAGCAATCCTACTCGAGGGTATAGAGCCAAAGGAAATGAAATCAATATGGGGAAGACACACATCTGCACTCTCATGTTTATGCAACACTATCCTGAAGAGCCAAGAAATGGAATCAACTTGTGTTGATCAACTGATGAACAGATAAAGCAGTATGGTACATATACACCATCCAATACTATTCAGCTGTAAAAAAGAATGAAATCTGTCATCTGTGACAACGTGGATGGAACCTGAGAACATTATGCTAATGAAGTGAGCCAGGTACAGAAAGACAAGTACCTTATGACCTCACTCATATGTGAAATCTAAAAAGTAGCTATCATTGATGGTAGATTAGTGTTTGTCTGAGGCTGGGAGAGCACACAGGGAAGAAAGGATGGGGAGAGGCTTTTCAGGGGGTACTAAGTTACAGTAAAATGACAGGAATATGTTCTGCTGGGCAACTACTGCACAGAAGGGTGAGTAGAGAGAACCATAACATTCCATACATTTCAAAGGTTACAAGAAAGTAGTGTGAATGCTCTTGCCATAAAAAATAGTCAATGTCTGGGAAGTAAATTCAATTACCTTGATGTCAGCCTTACACAATGTATACATGTATTGAAATATCACATGGCTGCCCATAAATACGTACCATTTTTATGTTTTTTATGTATCAGTTACAAATAAACTCAATAGTTTAAAGTAATTGGCTAAAAATTTTCCTTCCTGCTAAGCAAATGTTTAAGGCTCCAAAATAGGGAGTTTGGGTGACAGAAAGGTAGGACTGGAATGTGGGAACTTGGAGGGGTAAAGGGAGTACAGTGACCCACTCTGTTTGCTTCTCAGCCTCTGGCATCAGGGTTCTGAGGCACAATGCTCTACCTGGACCCAAGGGAGGTGTGACTGCAGCATTTCTCAGAGTTTTTCTTCAGCGTATAGGGACGCCTCAGTGTTCAGCGGGATTTACACATGTACAGGACACGGTTACACAGAGCAGATGTTTACACACAGTAGGTCACTCTCTGATTCTGGGGCTCATGACTAGGATCAAAGGCGCCCGGGAGCCATGGAACACAGGGAGCGCTGGGAAAAGCTGCTGGTGGTGTAGAGTTCTGTGGAAGATGAGTTAGGAAAACATCTGGGCTGTTAGAACTATGTAGAAATGGGATTCTCAGATTTACCAAGCAGAGGATCCCATTACTGATAGGTATTTACATTACCCCACTTCCACAGAGGGTACAAGTCATTCTTTAAAGGACTTCAGTCACAGGGCATGCAACGATAACCTGCCATGTCTTAGGTCTTCTGTAAGAGCAGAGATTTGGCGCGTCAAGATTCACCAGGAAGAATTCTGAGTCTTCTTCCAGCTGAGAAGGAGGCCAGGCCCAGCATCCCCCAGCCTCTCTTTCTTCATCTGCAAGAATGAGAAAGAAAGTCCAAACATGCAGGCATTCCTCATCGCTAGAGACAGGCTCTGGGAAGGAACATGTTCAGCCAGAAGCGTGGGTGGGTGAGTTGGGTGTGCCCAAGTCAAAAAGTGAGCAGTCTGTCTGGCATGGATATCATGGATATCACATCAAGCATGGATAGCAGAGACCCCTTTATCCTAAAACACATTCCTTTTAGATAGCTGACATTACCAAATGTAGGCATTGGTAATGAAGGCATCCCTGCCATTTTAAATAAAATAAAACCCCACCCTCGGGATTCTTTCCTCTTCCCAACCTCCCCTGGCTGCTTACACTGTATCCTCCTAGACGGATCTCCCTATCATCCTTATCAACTAAACTGTGCAATGTGTTTGCATATAAGAACACTGTCAAAGGCAGAAGAAACACAAATGCATGTGATAAACCTTTCATCCTTAAAACGTCTAGAAAGCAGATGTACCAGTCATTATGATCCATTAGGATGTGTGCAGGAATCAATGAACAAGGCAAAAGTGGCTAAGGAGAGACTGGACAGAGGAGACTCTACTACAGCCTGATGCCCTCTGCTGGAGCCTGGCCTTTATGTCCTTGTGGGAGCCCAAAATGGATTTTATCATCGGATTCATCACACCATGCTGCCTTTGCCCCTCTGCATGCTCATTTCATCTACTAAATGCTTTGCTTCTAAAAGGCTGAGACTGAAGACTAGTTCCCAACATTATGCCTAGAATCCAGCCATCAACTCAGTGAGCATTGTGGAAACTTTTAAATTAAGTCCGGTATTCTGTAGATAAGAAAAGTCTCGGGTCGCGCAGAAGACGCCGAATCACCCCGCTGCAGACAGGCAGGTCTGCCCACGCCCTACCGAGGTCCTGAGTGGCAGGAAACACGCCGAATCAGCCCGCTGCAGACAGGAAGGTCTGTGCATGCCCTACCGAGGTCTCGAGTCACGCTGAAGATGCCGAATCACCCTGTTACAGACAGGCAGCCACCTGATTCCACACAACAAAGAGGCAGAGGACACCAGACCACCAGACCAAGGTACTGAGTCCTGCTGCTCCCAGCCCAGAGGTAGGGGCTTCTGAGCTGCTGTCCCACTGCTCCTGGTCCAGAGGAAGGGGCTTCCCGGTCACCATCCCTCCCGCTGCTCCCAGCCCAGAGGAAAGGGCTTTTGGGCCACCTTCTGTCCCACTGCTCCTGGCCCAGAGGAAGGGGCTTCTGGGCCACCATCCCTCCCGCTGCTCCCAGCCCAGAGGAAAGGGCTTTTGGGCCACCTTCTGTCCCACTGCTCCTGGCACAGAGGAAGGGGCTTCTGGGGCAACATTCCTCCCACCACTCCCGGCCCAGAGGTAGGGGCTTCTGAGCCACCATCCCACTGCTCCTGGTCCAGAGGAGGGGCTTCCCGGCCACCATCCCTCCCGCTGCTCCTAGCCCACAGGAAAGGGCTTTTGGGCCACCATCCCCACCACTGCTCCCAGCCCCTGTCCCACCTCTCCTAGCTCAGAGGAGGTAATCCATTCATGCGCTAACAGCCCCCCGCCCCAGTCGAAATGAGAAAACACGTAAATAAGTCTCAAAACCAGACTTCCAGATCACCTACAGCAACCCCAAAGGGAAATGAGATGGACCACTCTGATACTCAACCACCTG